AATCCATAACCAATGTATACAATCCATACCATATGTATACATATTCCATATCCAAAACAAAGTCACACCACTGTATAATCCATGATGTAACCAACACATCCAAACCAAATGTTGGCCTGAACACCATCCAAACCAAGTGTTGATACGGTGAAACATGTCATCAACCCATGTCCCACACCTAACCTCTCATGGAAAATATACAGTTGGATTACGTCGTCACGTAACCCTGGTGGGGCCACCTCATCCATCGGTATGACTCGGCCTAGACCCATACCGGTAGCAAATAGAATACTTAGAGGAGTACTTCAGAATCCACCTAACATCTGAAGTGGTTTATCATATAATCTTTGGAAAAGTTCCACATTGGAATCCTCACCATGGGATTCCCAAATTCCATATTTTTCCAAAGATTATATCCTGATCTCACCAAGAGATCTATCCATACCATAACCTTACTCCTTTAAGTCCTATTTACTTTTCCAAACCACATACACATAGCATATTCCATAATTAAACATAACCATAACCATGCCAATTTGTCAATATAATAGTAATATAATTAATTAAATATTTAAAACAACCATCAATTGATCCAAATTATACTATGTGAAATGAAAATCTTCACATAAAGTAGCATATTAAAATTATACTATTCCTATCATGTTCATATGTACTAGATTAATTTTATAAGCACTACCCTTGGATAAACCTGAACTGAAATTCGGGCAGAACCTCCTCCTCTCTTTTCCTTAGCTAAGAACCGAAACTCGGGCAGAATCTCCACCTCTTTCCTTAAACAAGAACCGAAACTCGGGCAGAATCTCCACCTCTTTCCTTAAACAAGGACAGAAACTCGGGCAGAATCTCCTCCTCTCCCTCTTCTTTTCTCTCCCCTGGCAGAACCTCCTCCACTGGATTCCTCTTTCTCTCTCTTCTTTTCTTTTCTCCTCTTCTCTCTTTCTTTCTCTCTCTCCTTTTTCTCTCTCTCTCCTCTTTCTCTCTCTAGGATTCTCTTCTCTTCAGTTATAATTTTTCACCCCCTGCCTCCTATTTATAGGCAACCTGAGTCAACCGGAACGACCGTACTGAATTCGGAACGGCCCGTTCCGAATCCTTCATATGTATGCAAATTTTTGAACTGGAACGGCCCGTTCTAAATTTGGAACGGCCCGTTGCCAAAAAGCAGAACGGCCCGTTCTAAGACTCATCCAGAATGGCCCGTTCTCCTTCCGGAACGGCCAGTGCTCCTTCCAGAACGGCCCGTTCAGGAAACTCGGGCAGAATCTCCACCTCTTTCCTTAAACAAGGACAGAAACTCGGGCAGAATCTCCTCCTCTCCCTCTTCTTTTCTCTCCCCTGGCAGAACCTCCTCCACTGGATTCCTCTTTCTCTCTCTTCTTTTCTTTTCTCCTCTTCTCTCTTTCTTTCTCTCTCTCCTTTTTCTCTCTCTCTCCTCTTTCTCTCTCTAGGATTCTCTTCTCTTCAGTTATAATTTTTCACCCCCTGCCTCCTATTTATAGGCAACCTGAGTCAACCGGAACGACCGTACTGAATTCGGAACGGCCCGTTCCGAATCCTTCATATGTATGCAAATTTTTGAACTGGAACGGCCCGTTCTAAATTTGGAACGGCCCGTTGCCAAAAAGCAGAACGGCCCGTTCTAAGACTCATCCAGAATGGCCCGTTCTCCTTCCGGAACGGCCAGTGCTCCTTCCAGAACGGCCCGTTCCAAAATCAGAACAGCCCGTTCTCCTTTTGGAACGGCCCGTTCTGGGCCCGTTCTCAATCTTTAAACTTAGTTTCTTTTTGGTGCTTGGAACGGCCCGTTCCGCTTTCAGAACAGCCCGTTCCGAGTTACCCAAACACCCAAAATGGGTATTACAATTCTCTCCAACAACAAAAATTTTCGTCCTCGAAAATTCACTTACTCTAAAAGAGATATGGGTATTGATCCTTCATCCTTTCCTCCAACTCCCAAGTAGCTTCATTAGTAATCTCATCCCAAATAACTTTCACCAAATTGATAGATTTACCTCGCAACTGTTTAACTTTCTTATCTGCCACTGAAACTGGCTGTTTCTCAAAGGTTAAATTCTCCTTAACTTGTACTGCCTCTGATTCCAAGACATGACTTGGATCGTGAATATATTTCCTCAGTTGTGAAACATGGAACACATCATGCAGATTAGAAAGGAATGGAGGTAATGCAATCTGATATGCCACTGGTCCAATCCTCTTGAGAATTTGATACGACCCAATAAACTTAGGATTCAACTTCTTAGCTTGTACTGCCTCTGATACCAAGACATGACTTGGATCGTGAATATACTTCCTCAGTTGTGAAACATGGAACACATCATGCAGATTAGAAAGGAATGGAGGTAATGCAATCTGATATGCCACTGGTCCAATCCTCTTGAGAATTTGATACGACCCAATAAACTTAGGATTCAACTTCTTAGCTTTGATAGCTCTTCCCACACCTGTGGTAGGAGTTACCTTCAAAAACACATGTTCTCCCTCTGAAAACTCGAAAGGTTTC